CCCCAAAACCCCAAAACCCCAAAACCCCAAAACCCCACAGATGTCACTTAAATTGCTCACTAGTTTAAAAAAATTACAAATACACAAATATGAAGACACTCTCATTTTTACGAAAGTCGGTTAAAAAGACAGATTTCTTCCCTCAGCAAGTTAGTTTGACATATAAAGGGAACTCTAGCTTCCAAACGTTTTATGGAGGAGTTGTGAGTCTTGCTATTATAATCATGATTATTTCATACTCTATCAGGTTGCTTATGGTTATGTTTCAGAGACAGCAGACAAATAAAACCTTGAATACAATTATTAACGATATCCAAAATGATCCCCCTACATATGAAATCAATAAAGACAATTTTGGGTTTGTGTTTACGACTCAGGATTCTATCACAAATAATAGGACTTATGATCCCAGCTACATATCGGTTTCAGTTACCCAAAATATTGATTATTACGACCAAGAAACAGGACAGAGGACTTACACAAGCTATGACAGGGACTTTGATACATGAGGAGAAGACTTCCCAACTATTGATCAGAAATTTGAAGATCTCAGAGATGCCCTCAAAGATGAGCACCAATGTCTAGACAACCAGACGTTTATGATTCAAGGAAGTACCTTTTCTCAAGTGAGGCAATATATTACATTAAATGTTAATAAATGTGTGAACGGGACTTCTTCTGTAGTCTGAAAAACAACTGCCGAAATAAACCAAAAGGTTAAAAATAGTCAATTCGTCTTTGGCTTTGCTACAAAATTCTTTGACTTTGATGATTATTATAATCCAATAAAAAGCGCGTATGATACCCGATTTGGAGCTTCCCTTGACCAAGGTTTTCACAAGATGAATGAATATCTGATACAAAAATCAGAAGTCTTTGATGTAAACTATTTCTTCCAATTTGGGCAGAATGTAGAGAGCGAGTTCTATGTAGTTTCTGAAGAAATAGCAGATTTTGAATCAACCGATGGAACTGATTCCAAACTTTTGACGCTTACTTTCATCCAAGATGCTCAAATGGTAAATTATGAGAGGATAATTTTCTCATTCTTTGATGCCTTCAGTCAGATAGGAGGAGTCTTTGGACTTCTTCTCCAAGTAGGAGCACTGGTAACAAATAGTTTTAGCGAAAAATACTTTCTTGCTTCCTTGTTTTCTTTTCTATATATATCAACTCAGAAAGAGAAGATAGAGAGCAAAGGAAATAATAGAAATGCAATAGCTCCAACACTCAGGAGGTTTGAAACTCAAACAGATAAAATAAAGCCTTATCATAACGAGACTTTGAAAGATTTTAAACACGAAATAAATAGTGAGTTAATTTTGTGATTCGTACGATCATTAATTATTAACAATATGGATAGATTCCTTCGTACAAAATGCAAATAATTACAAATAACGATAGCTCAAAATCTGTAATCACTCGCTGCATAAACCACCTCGAATCCCTCAGAAGACTCTACTTCACATCTTCTGATTACCTCAAAACTCTAGTTCCTGTCTTCAGCAACAGAGCTAAGCAGCAGTTCAGCGAACACAGCCTCAAGTTCAGGTACAGAGGTTTGAATGACGCTATAGCCACGAGTGAGACATCGTTGAAATCATCCACTCGATGCGAGCATTGAAGCTGATGATGAAGCTGGTGCTGAGCGAGCATCAGCAGTTGCTCGTGAGCTTCAGCTCCAAAGGTTATAATGAGTGTTCACAAGTTCTCTCCCAAAACTTTAGTAAAATGAAACTGTTAAATAAGCTAGATAAAATTCCAACCCAAACTCCTAATTTTATTAAGGAAGCACAACTTAGAATCGACACTCTAACTTGCAAACTTCAACAAATAGAAATCAACCAAGTTGAGAAAGACAGTAAGTTTGCTACTAACTCTAGTCCAAACGATTATCGGAATCAAACCAGAATTAGAGGAGGTATTCCCATTGTAAAATTTCTAGGATCTAAAGGTTCCAAACAACCGTCTCTCAGAAGAAGCTTCTAGAGTCCAATTCATAGAGGAAGAGGAACTGAAAGAGGAAGAGTATAGCTTTAGACACAGGAACAAAGATCTACAATCGCAATTTTAATATTTAGACATTTTGGAGTTTCAGTCCCTATTTTATATTAAGGGGTTTTGGGGTTTTGGGGTTTTGGGGTTTTGGGG